GGCTGGTGGGTCGAGAATGATCATGATGAGGAAAGACGTCAGTGTGCTACGGTTCATGGAGCGGTGAACAATTTCAGGACGCAGATATTACTTGACACTGGAGCGACTGTGAGTATGATCAGTTTGGACCTTGCGCGTAGGCTCAAGATCAAGTTAAACTCACAGAAGCGGATCAAGGTGTCTGGATTAGGTGGTGTCCCGAGCTATATCACTTCGAGTGCACAGATCAAGATCACTTTGGGATGGCGAGTTGTATATGTCATGGATGTCTGGGTAACGAACATCGGAGAAGGAGTGGATGTACTCTTAGGGATAGACTTTATGTTAAGCGGTGGAGTACGCCTAGGTATTCGTGAAGGAATGGTAGGCCTCCCGGATGAAGAATCCATTTTGATGTACGGGTATACCATACGAAGACGTGAATACCGGGATATACCAGTCTGCCCCCTTCGAGGACTGCATCTGCGACCTGGAGAACATGCAAATGTAGCCATCCGATATGGACAATGTCGCCCGCTCCAAGATGTCGTATGGGCAGGGCGAGGAGACCAATGGGTCACCCAAATTGTTTACGGCGCACGATCGTGGGCTGTAGCAATAAAAGTGGTCAATGTTTCGGACCAATATTGTTGGATCGAGCCTAGGACGCATGTTGCTCGGATCGCGGAATATGGGAATATCCCCATAGTCGGGCAGTTCGTGCGCCCTGGATTGCGAAGATATATGGAATGGCAGCAGATTATTCAGGAGAACACATTGTCCGCGAAGGCAAGGGTGTGTCAGGAAGCGTATGAACAGATGCTTCGGGATGCGGCTCCGCCTGCAGTTATGGTCCCTATTTACAAATGGCCAACGAAGTTATTAGTGAGGCCAAAGGGACCCGAGCAAGCCCAGGTTACGAAGATTGTGGAAGAGTTGCCACCGCAAAGAGACACCGAGGACGTGGAATCAGCTGAGGGTGCTACACCTGGGGTATACTCCCCGAGTGTGATTGACTCCCTCATGGCTGTCGAAGTTCCGCCTGAACTTGTCACCCTAGATGTCGACACCCAGGATGGTGGAGAAGTTGTCAATTCGGGATCCTGTGGAGGAGTCCCAGACGACATGCCTCAGAGATTTGAATGCGATGCATTCCAGGATGACCCGAGCATAGAAGTCGGGGATTTCGAGTTGCCTTCTCATGCCGCACCCGGAACATCACTCGCAAGACTTGATGCAGCGTATGCCAGGTGCATGTGGGTGAGCGCTGAGGAATTCGATTTGGAACCGGCGGTTTACATTCGTGAAGGGAGTGAGCTTACGACTCAGTTGAAGGATCAGCTGGTTATGCTACCCGACTTAGACGACCTCTCTCCTGAATGTGACATCGAGGCTGCTGACGTTGGAAAACCTGGCGAGAGCACGGAGGCTATAGAAAAACGGCTGAAGACCATCCTGAAAAGACACAAGAAGATATTCTTAGGTGACGGAAATGCTGCCCCGCCTCCGGCGAAGGGCGTCATCTGTGATTTGGATGTGGGTGATGCCAGGCCAGTTGCTGCCAGGCTAGTTGCTCAAAGACCCCGATCGGTAGGCCCCCACTTGACAATCCGACAAGTTACAGAAGAAGCTCCTGGAAGCTACACTGATTGAACACTCTGAATCGCCATGGGCGTCACCAATTGTGATCGTACTCAAGAAGAACGGAGTGGACATTCGAATGTGCATTGACTATCGAGTCGTGAACAGCTTCATTCAATTGTCGAATTACACACTACCACGGATCGACGATCTCATCACCGGTTTCGAAGGAATGATGTGGTTTATGAGTCTTGACATGACAAGTGGTTTCTGGGCAGTCCGAATACCTGAAAGGTCTAAGCTGATCTCGGTATTTACATGTCCATTTGGGCATTTCCAATGGGTACGTTTCGGGTTGAAAAACGCCCCCCAATTTACCAGCAGATGATAAATAATTGCATGTGGGGATTTG